AATAAATTATATATATACATATATATATATATGTATATATAGTCAAAGGTGAGGATTGACCAACTCGTAAATATTTGGCACGATTGAGCGATCAGAAACGGTGTACGAGCTTAGCCGAATTTTGCCGAATCGATCCGAACTCGATATGCTGGGATAGTTACACGCTTCTAATCGATTTCTTTAGACGGAGTTCAGGCGAAACCAATTTCAATAAACTATAGCTGAAAATTTATAATAGACTTTGTAAGCAGATCCATCTATCGTTCATTAGGCAGTCACGTGTTTGTAGATAATACCATTTCTGTAACGAAACTAAAAAAATCTATATTGTCGACGCGTGTTAGAAAAATCACGTGACTACCCTAGCCCCTTAACCATTGACACTAGCGGAATCTTTTTACGCAGAAATTGTAGATCTCGTCGTCCCCTACAAAATGAGCCTACAAACCTACCTAGGGACGGAATTCTTTGGACTTGTTACTTCTTCTTTTCAGGCGTTCTTCGCAGATTCCCAGGATCCGCGAGACGATTGCTCCCGATGGATTTCTCGCATCAGCGGTAAGCTCGCCAATCGTCGTTTGTCAATCATAATCGTCTGATCGGCTGTCATCGAGTACGTACCGCGCGTAGCTGTCCAACGATGTTGCCAGTGAGCCAGGTAAAGAAAACGAACGATGAAAGTCGTATTATAATAGTGAATTTTAATAACGATGAAAATTATGTACATATTTACAATTATCTCGTTAAACGTTTAAGTTTTATTACGACATGTATCGGGATGTTGAAACGCTACTACGTAGAAACACACGTTCAGCTTTTTAATTTTTCTTTCATATTGAGTGTGCGCTACGCCACACGGTACATGTATCCATCTACGTATGTTTCGACACGATACGCGGACGGGTACACGTTCGATTCCTTTTCTCTTTCGTGCTGGAACACGCTCGAAATTGAGTCGAAGGAACGAAGAAAGAAAATAGACGATATCTGCGAAGGTACGCGTTCAACTTCGTTGTCACTGTTCTCGAACATTTGCGCGAGAGATGGCGATCGTAATAACAGTTAAGTAATAGAATTTCTGTAATAAACAACAATGAAGATGGTCAACGATATTAAATGAACGGTATGTCTTGCGAAATTGTCTGGCGAGGGAAGACAATTAACTGAACTGACTACTGAGTATGTACATAACGGAGTGCGATACAATCGGCTGATCGTGAGATCGAATCGAGTACAGTACGTACGCGTTGCTACGCTCAGCGACGACTTGCCAATTTCGAACAATTTCTCTCTGTCAGACGTACTGTGATATCGGGCCGTTTACCAATTTCGCAAGGAAGACGAAAAGACAGTGGTGAAAGCGAAACGAACAGGCGATTCGTACCGGACGCAATACGCGATCGAATCGTGCGAATTACTTATGAATATGGAACGTGCGAAAGCGAAGACATTTCTGGTTGGAACGTCGCGCGACGCGCTTATAATATCACGTAATTTCGACGATATGCCGTACGTGGACTTAACGATTTTCAATTCCTCGTTGTCGCGGAACAATTTTCGCGGGAAAATTAGAAAAACGATGACCGACGCGTCGCGACGGGAGAAAACGTTTTCCGCGGACGACTTCCGCTGTTTTCCCTGTTCTGAACGGCACGGAAATGATATGCGACACGATGACGATAGAAGATTTTCGTTTACAAAACGGTAGTAAAAATAATGCGTATCGATGCGTCGTCGTGGGAAAGCAACAAGAACGTCGCCCGTCGCCGACGAGACGTTTGGACGATCCAACGTACACGCGCGTACCACAGACACACACGTCACACGTACTCCGATACACATACGCACAGACACGCGGAGAGACGGATTTATGGTTCCTTTATACCTTACTGCACGTCGATTCTTCCTCTCCTTCCTTGCCTTTCGTCGGAAACGCGTGCGCGCCGTTTCGTGTCGTTTGAATCGTTTTATTCTCTGCCTTTGGTAATTCCACGGATATGTCTTAAACGAAACTTGACGCGAGAGTACATTTAGAGCCTAGAACATATGTATTTCGATTCGTCGCCAGTGGAAGATCCACGGACGGACGCTCGTCGAAACTCGTCGAAACTCGTCGATGGTACGCGTTTCGCCGAGTACTCAGCTCGCGGAGGAAACGTTCGTCTTCGAACGGCCTACCAAGAGGTTTGTAGAACGATTCGGTGGATCTGACACTGTTCGATCGTCAAAGACGTCCATCCTTACCGTTATCACGTTTATCGATATGATATTTAATTAAGATTACGCGGCTTAAGAATTAGTATTAGATACGATGGGAACGATTTCCTAACGTACATACTCGTCGTTACGCTCTCGAGAAGGAACGCGGACAGAGGTGTCGTCGTCGTCGTCGTCGTCATTATCGAGTCAGGGCGACGATGCCTGCGATCAGGGCGAATGTGAGCCGGTCGAGCGTCGCGGCAGGCCGACTTGCTGCAACCAAACGAAAGATCGACTCGGGTCAGTGAACGTCCTCCTTCCGGTGTCGAACACGAGTGGCCGTCAGTGGCCTTTTCACAGCGACGGACGGCCACCACGGTCGAGTCGTACGCATTTCGTTACCACTGATCAGATCGTTCCGAGTACGACTCTGCGCCCTGGTCTCGCGGCTCTCCATCACCGGAGCCTTGAGGATCCTCTCGTCCCCTTCGACGCTCTCCTCGTTGCTCTGAAGGTAGACGGTGGCTATCGTCGCCAGACATTTCAGCTTCATATCGCCCCGTTTAAAGTGTTTGTTCGCGACGCGGAACTCGAGTCCAAGCACCGCGGTCTCGAGTCCCTTCTCGTCGACCGCGGTGATGTGCGGTCCCTTCAGGTACTTGGCGTCCGCCTGAAATCGCCGGTCGATCGAGTTCGAACGGAAGCGGCTAGGCACGTTCTCAGGTTCATCCGGTACTTACCGGGTCGCCGTTGATGAACCAAGTCAACAGGGCAGCCGGCTTGGAGGGCGCGGACGTGCAGTTCATGCGAACGACCTCCCCTACCTGGTAGCGGGATCGACGACCGGTTATCCGCGGGCCCTCGTCGGGAAGAACTGTGAACCGAGACATCGATTTCGTCGAGACACCGATCACGTCGCCTCCGCGCGCCGTTTCTCTTACCTACTACCATCATGTCCGCGTGATCCGACACCGTCTGAAACGCGGGTGCCTCCGCGGACACCTCGCACCTGTACCTGCCCGAACTGGTCAGGTTGACGTTGCTCAGTACCACCGATCTCTCCGTGGAATTGCGTATCTGGAACCGAAGATGGAACACCGTGACGCGGCGCGTTCTCCGTGATAACGTACCGTAGATACTCACGTTCACGTTTACGCCGGGCACGCGAAACGTCTGTACCGCGGGCACGTCCCTGGGCACGTAACGATAAAACTCGTGCCCGTCCTTGTACCATTTCACCGAGTACAACGTCTCTTTGTCCAAGTTGAAGTTGCACTGCATTCGAACCGTCTCGTTGAGAACGACGTGCTGCGGTATCTGTAGGGCCGTCATGCGAAGGGCTGCGATACCTTGAAAAGAAAACCGGCAACAATCTAGGCGTCTGGCAACAGTTGGATCGCGAACCTCTCGGAACGGAGAATTTACGTACGAACCGAGGAGACGACCGATTTACGGCCGCGGTCAGTCGGCCCAACCCCTTCCACGGAGAGACGGAAACTATCGGGAACGAAATCGTTGGTCGGAGAATCGACAATTTTTATCGTATCGTATCGTATCGTATCGACGAGCACAAATATCGAACCAACACGAGGAACAACGAATCGAACAAAGAAATAAAATAGACGAGAGCGTCTCGTGCGTGGAGCATTAAAACCGTATCGAGCGGGGAACGAGCTTCCTCTCATTTTCCGTTATTCCTATTTCCGGGTTTGATCGCTGTCCGCAACGCTGCCAATTCACTCAACACCACTCGAATCGGTGGTTGCAATTTTACGAGTGGCCTTAATCAAGTTCCTCGAGTACGCGTTCCGGTACCCTATGCCGATACGCGATCAACACCGTCCCACCGATATTTTCGCGTCGACGTCGCGGAACCTCCGACGTATTAAATCGCGGTATTTCCGGACGACTTCTCGTTCGACGCGGCGGTTCTCCCGTTCGAGCTCGTACGGCGTAGAACGGAAGGAATCCGACGATGAAAATCAATAACCGTCGCACGCTCCAACCTACCGAAAATGGATCGAAACTCGAGACAGAACGACGGATAGAAACAGCAGCTGTCTTCGGATCGTCCTGCTGCCTTTGTTCGTCGACGAAAGGGACGAACGACTCACCGATCGAGAACGTTCTCTTCGACGAACAGACAGATCGGCTCGATTTCCTCGATTCGAGAGTGCCGATCGAAGGCGTCCAAGCTAGTTAGTAGACCCCGGTACCGGTCACAGGCTCGGAAGCACTCTTGATCGGACGCGAGGAGCAGTTTTTCCGCGCTACGGTCAACGATCGAGACTCGAATTTATGGGTCATTGAACGCGGTGAGGCCGCGGGCAACTTTCATCCGGCGCCGGAATTTATCCACATTTCGGGAATCTTATTTCTATTCTGGACAAACCGAATTCCATCTAAACGTTTAATTCGCTCGGTCACCGTGTCACTGGCCGCCGCGCCATCCGCGACCGAGCAGATTTTCGTCCCATTTCGACCACCGTTCGAGCGACGATCCTCGTTCAGCCGAACATTTACCAGACTCGTTGATCGAACGAGACGTTTGCCGCCGTCGTCGCGTAAAACTGAAAACCGGTCCGAAATTACGAGTACGTTCCACGCGGAAATCGACGGGGAAATCGACGTGATCCCGGAGCCTCGTTGGCCGCGCGTAGAGCAAACGTAGAAACGATGCGACCGTCGACCGTGGAGTCGCGTGGAGCACCGAATATCGTCTCGACGTTCACCACCGACGACTTCCGTGGACGCTCGCCCGGAAACGAACGTCGTTGGATCGTGGACCTGGATCGACGTGACTCGATCTAGAATTATGTAAAGTCCGAGTTCTGTGTCTCGTTCGACGGAACGAAGAAAGTCGCGACCGAAACAAGGAAATGGTAACGCGAAATCGTTGACGATCTTCGGACACCACCTTTGGTCGCACGGAACAAGGAACTGCCTACCTGAGAACGAGTTGAGCGCGAACGCGAACAGAGCGACGATCCTGCAGAGGAAGGCGTCGTGGTTCACGGGAAACGGCATCCTCTGGCCGGCCTGCGAGCCACCGGACCCCATACACCCCATGGACCGTTCACTGGAAAAATCTCCGTCACTGACCGGCCATTCCACCAGTTCTCGACACTGTTCACACGCACGCGACGCGAAAATAGAATCGATCCGTCCGATACGACGGCCGAGGAGGAGAAGGCAAGACGAGAAAACGGAACGGAGCGGAACGGAAGAGAACAGAGCGGAGAAAGAGGGAGAGAGAGAGAGAGAGAGAGTGAGGAAGGAAGGAAGGATCAAGCGACGGAGCGGAGCTTAGGACGCGAACGAGCGACCTTCGGTCATGATCAGCGCTGGTCAGCAGGTGTCGGAGCGGCACATTATTTTGCACGTTTCGCGCGGACTAATTGAAAATCTATACCGAGACCGGAGAGAGGACGGTCGTCGCTACTGCGGCATCGGGGCCGCGCACCAGCAGGAACCAGGAGGTGCCGGTGCGTCGCTGCCAGTGCCGCTGCTGCTCGCTGCCACCGTGGCGACGACCGGGGTGGTAGAGGCGGTACCGTGGTAGCGACAGAGAGGTTCCCGGAGACGCCGGAATCCGGGGCTGGGTGTAGCGGCCGATGGGGCCACCGCGAGAGGAAACGAGCGACGAGAACTGGTTCGACGAGGACGGTGGCGACCTTTGGGTCGCGAGCGGGCGACGCGTCCTTCGTCCGACGGAGAACGGAGACGGCGCGAGGTTCCTGGGCGACTGCGCCGTCGGCCGAGTCGATGATCGCTGCAAAATCCTTCCGTCTCGCTCCGGCACTGCGCGCTGCGCTCCACGCGCACCGACCGTTCGCCCCTTTTCGTCGCGTCGTCCGTGTCTGCGCGAGGGTGCCCACCAAATTGGGGGGGAATATACGCGCGGCCTACCGTACTGCTCGCCGACCCGCACCCGATGCTTCGCGGATTTTCGCAGCCGATTCGTCGCTCTTCCCTCTGAACCCGTCGCGTTCGGCTCCACCGGGTCCAGGGACTCGACCGAGGGATCGCTCCGAGATCACCGACGCTGATTCTCTGAGCGGAGACGATCGCGAAACGATGATTCCATTCTCGGCGCGTCCGGCTCCACGCGGACCTGTTCCACTTACGCGCGGCGCTCTCACCTGCGTCGCGGCACGCCAATTGTCAAATTCAATTTACTTGGAGCTTCGGCCCCATGTATCGTTGACCCGGTTTCACGTCAAGAACGCCTGGCCCCTTGCGTACGTTCCGCGACGACGACACCTCTCGGACCCGTCGCGTTCGGCCGCAAAGATCGGTATCGGTGCGGGACGATCGCCAACAGCCGACTTCCGCGCCGTCGCCTCGTTAATCCGTCGTTTTTCTCGCATCGTTGCCGGCCGCCGCGACCCGAAAGAAGGTCAAGTGTGCCGGGGGGAGAGATGATCGAGACCCGAGCGAGCGAGCGAGCGAGCGAGCGCATAATTTTCCCGCGGTAACTGCCCGCGGCTAAATACGTGCCTCCTCGACCGAACGCTTTGTCTTTGGTCGCGACCGTCTTCGTTCGATCTGTCGAGACCGACGAGTCAGCGCTCGGTAATCGAGTACCAGTTGCGCGCGGAACGAATGTCGGTGGCCGTTTAAACAGCGCCACGTCTATTCCTTATTCATTTATCGGAGATCCTCTCGGTGGTGAATCGTAGTTCTCTCGACCGCAAACGCTAACGACTCTTGAACCGAGCGTTTTTCGCTTTAAAACCCGCCTCGTTTCGTCGAAATTCTCGAGCGACTCTCCACCCATCGAATTACGTCCGACGATTGTTAACTCCCACCGGCTGAATTTGGGACGCGTCATCCCGCGTGAAAAATCTGCCCGGGAGGGCACACGAGCTTCCTTTCCAGGAAGATCGATGAATCGCGACGATGAAATTACCACCGCGATAAATACGTTCGACGGGGAATCGTTGCTCCAGCCGGCGTGTCACGCCGGTCGTCTCGCAAAAATTTGACGCTTACGCGGAGAGAGATTGGTCTGACAGCGTAGAAGGAATTCGGGTGAGACCCAGTGAGAAAGGCGCGAAGAACACGTCGATTTCGCCGGACCGGACGGCCAAGCCAGCGCGTCGCCTACCGCGTGCGGCTGGCGTGTACGTAGGTGCACGGTTACACGGTACATACTCTCGGCGCGGGTCCGCGGCAGGAGACGCATGCGCTTATTTATTAGCGGGACCGAAAATCGATGTTTGACCTCTCGCTCCCTCCTCTCGCGTTCCTCGCCTTCGGTACGTAGCTACTTCTCTCGACTCGGTTTCCCGCGATTCCCACCCTCCGAGAGATACGCGCGTACGATCGAGAGCCGCGGCTACCAATTCGGCCAAATTTTCCCCCGAGCAACGAACGAGCGAATACTCATTTACGACGCGTAACGTGCAACGAACGCGGATATCGCCCGAATCGACTGTCTTCCGGACAGCGTTTCGTTGGTCGGAAAGTTAGGAAGGTAGTCGCCGAGCGGCTGGTCCTTTAGGACGCGAGCGGCGAGTCCGAATAAAACCGGGAATTGCGGAGGTGTCGGGAGCTCTCCACTTTGGTCCGCGGGACAACGAACAACCAGAGGTTGGTTCGATTTAATCGAGATTCGTCGCGTCCAACCAGAGAGAAAACGTTTTCGCCACTCCCGGCTTCGTTTTTAATCAACCGAACAAACTGTACATTAACGGGTTCTAAGTAAAATTTGCAGATTCGCCCGAGCAAATTTGCCAACCGTCGAATCGCAAACACCGCTGCCGGATGACGACGGCGGCGGCGGCGGCGAGAGCGAGTGTACACTCACCGATCTTTCTTCGATTTCGCGTGCGAGGCCCGTTACGGTTTCCATTCTCGCTCTCGCGCGACGGCCACGCGACAACGTTTTTATTTTATCCGGGAAAACCGTCGATAGATCGATGAATCGCGACGATGAAATTACCACCGCGATAAATACGTTCGACGGGGAATCGTTGCTCCAGCCGGCGTGTCACGCCATTCTGTACGAGATGGTCATTGCGTGTGTCTGTTGTCACGTGTACTACGGAGGTACGTTTTCGAGCGTCGAGACGATTTCGGTGGGGTCCGGCGATACGATTACTCCGATACGCCGATCGATCGTATTTATCATCGATTACATCGAAGCGGCATCGTTTCGCTCGGCGCGGGGGTGTAATTACGAGCTGCGAGCCGAGCATCGTTCGTTCCGTGAATTAATATCGCACCGCGGTCAGCTCGTACGTCGTCGATTTCCCGTGTGACTGGACTTTGAACCCTAGATCGTCGTCTCGCGTAAATTTGACGCTTACGCGGAGAGAGATTGGTCTGACAGCGTAGAAGGAATTCGGGTGAGACCCAGTGAGAAAGGCGCGAAGAACACGTCGATTTCGCCGGACCGGACGGCCAAGCCAGCGCGTCGCCTACCGCGTGCGGCTGGCGTGTACGTAGGTGCACGGTTACACGGTACATACTCTCGGCGCGGGTCCGCGGCAGGAGACGCATGCGCTTATTTATTAGCGGGACCGAAAATCGATGTTTGACCTCTCGCTCCCTCCTCTCGCGTTCCTCGCCTTCGGTACGTAGCTACTTCTCTCGACTCGGTTTCCCGCGATTCCCACCCTCCGAGAGATACGCGCGTACGATCGAGAGCCGCGGCTACCAATTCGGCCAAATTTTCCCCCGAGCAACGAACGAGCGAATACTCATTTACGACGCGTAACGTGCAACGAACGCGGATATCGCCCGAATCGACTGTCTTCCGGACAGCGTTTCGTTGGTCGGAAAGTTAGGAAGGTAGTCGCCGAGCGGCTGGTCCTTTAGGACGCGAGCGGCGAGTCCGAATAAAACCGGGAATTGCGGAGGTGTCGGGAGCTCTCCACTTTGGTCCGCGGGACAACGAACAACCAGAGGTTGGTTCGATTTAATCGAGATTCGTCGCGTCCAACCAGAGAGAAAACGTTTTCGCCACTCCCGGCTTCGTTTTTAATCAACCGAACAAACTGTACATTAACGGGTTCTAAGTAAAATTTGCAGATTCGCCCGAGCAAATTTGCCAACCGTCGAATCGCAAACACCGCTGCCGGATGACGACGGCGGCGGCGGCGGCGAGAGCGAGTGTACACTCACCGATCTTTCTTCGATTTCGCGTGCGAGGCCCGTTACGGTTTCCATTCTCGCTCTCGCGCGACGGCCACGCGACAACGTTTTTATTTTATCCGGGAAAACCGTCGAATTTCAGGCGACGTCGTCGCGTTTATCGGGAACGCGCGCATAGGTTCGGTCGATTCGTTGCGATTAAACGACGTTTCGACCCTCTCGTTTACGGCCAATCGCGTCGATTCGTCCGCGGAATTCGCGGTTTCGCGTGTTACGACCGGGGATTCATCGTTCCGAGCACCGCGCGAAATAAATTGACCGGCTGCGTTGGTGCCCACCCCCTGTGTGTGTGTGTGTGTGTGTGAATCGAGGTCGCGCCACCATTTTCGTCGAAACCGAATAATAATTGGCTCGGCTCTTGGTTCACGCGTACGTCTGTGCGTGTACGCGTCAAGATACGAGCGACGGGGTTTCTTCGAGAGAGGTGTGTCGGTGTCGAGGGACGTTCACGACGAGTTCTCTCGCGTTCGACTCTAAACGAGCGAGCCAGCAATTATCTTCCATCTGCCGAATTTCCGACCGTGACCCTTGCCGGACACTCGGCAGCTGTCTCGTTCCGAGGACGGGGTCGGTCTACGCGGAAAGCGGCAAGTCAATGGACGCGGGCGTCACCGGGCCCGGTCGACGTCGCGTCCAGGAATCGTAGATCTCGTTAACGAATCGCGTCATTGTCCCGTCCTAACGCCTAAACGGGGATCGTTTCCCTCGTTCTTCTCCGTCACGGAGAGCGTACCGGCGAGGATTTTCGCGAAACGATCACCGATGGCGGTGACCAGCTGGCAGAACGCGTCCAACGTCGACGGCGTAACGATCGTTCGATGGTCGTTGTCCGGTATTGCGCGGCGGCGGCGGCGGCGGCGGCGGCGGGGTGGCACGACGGAACCGTATGTCGCGCGTTCCAGCCGCCAGCGAAACTCCATATTTATGCCGGTGGCTAGCCATATGCGTTCAAACACTGCCATTCGCGTTATGGCCTTTTCACACTGCGTTTTCCGCTCCCGTATTCCGGCCGGGACCGATGGGTCGGCAACCAGTAACGAAGTGAAAAATGCGAGATGCAGAGAATAGCGCGTAAAAGCTGGATGACGCTCAACGGTCTCTCGTGCGTAAGCGAGGGTCACGGGTCGACAGCGGGCAACTCCGAGAGCGATTTTTTCGTGCTGGGAGAAACAGATTTTTCTGCACAGAAGTGTCGGTCTCGGCAGATAACCCTCGGCTGTGCGCAGAAAACATGAGACATAAAAATATAGATAGCCCGACTGCCCGGACGGAATACGGGAGCGGAAAACGCGATGTGAAAAGTGCATTACACGAGTCTCGTTTCCACGACCGTGTTCACCGGTGGGTCACGATTTTTCTTGGCCCTTCGCGTCCAGCCGATCGATATCGCGATTCCACGATTGAACTCGGACCGCGGCTCGATGACGTCGCAGCTCGTCCCGTGCTTCGTCCGGGTTCCGGACTCGGACGGATACCTCCGGCGCGTCTCTCAAACGTAATTACTCCCGTATCCCGTAACGCTTTGCCCGGCGTCGAACGAAATCTTATCCCGGCCGTCGCTAACGAGCAAAGCGAAACTCCGATCCTACTCGTTCCTCAGAGATCCAAACAAAGAGAGTCGACGCTCGCCGGCCAAGAATAAACGAACGAAAAAGAACAGAGGAAACGAGAGTAAAAGAAGGAGACCGGACCTGGTCGGAGTCGGAAGGAATAAAAGGACAGACGCGGGTGGATTTTCTGTCGGGAAGACGCGCGAAGTGGGTCATCTCTCCAGCCAGGAACGAACTTTGCAAAAGCGCAGAGAGCGAGCTACAGGCAAGGGAAGAGTATGGACAGCGCGGGGAAGGAAGTCGGGAGCCGCTCAGCGAGGATTCACTCAACGATTTGCATAAAGTTTCTCTCCCGAGCGATCCCTGGGAGACCCGAGAGAGGGACTACGAATCGGACGGTGACGTCGGGGAATCGCGGTCCGATATGCGTCGATCCGTCGTCGCTGGAATGTTCGTTCGTCTTTCGGGTCCGCGTAATCGCGCGTTTCTTCTCCTCGTTCCGATCGTCGCGCGTCGGATCGACGAACGGGGAGCTCCGATCGATCGACATCGAGCCTATCGTGGTCACGTGCTCCGTCCACGTGTTGCGCTTCGTGGGACCCGAAGTCGCCGATGCGAACGTCGATCGTCCCTCTACGACCGGCCGTCGATCGGCGGGACGACGTGCCGAACTTCTCGAATGGGTCGTCCTTTCCGTTTTCCGATGGTCTCTCGATCCGATCGAGCGAAGAGGAACCGACCGCACGGAAGAAGAACGAACAGTGCGTACTGCTCGTTTGACCATCGTTTTAATTTCGTCGAATTCGATTTCGAGCGTGGCCGGTCCGACGTTTCGTCGACGACTTTTCGTCTCTTTTTTTTCCTCTCGCGTTCGCTCGGTTTGCTCGATGGAACCACGCTTTTCGGCGACAACTTTTCCGCTTAAAATAACTCGTCTTAACTCAATTATTTCTCGTTAAGTCCGCTCCGGGTCACAGCTTCTTTTTGTCCTCGCCAACTTTTCGAAGCCGCTGGCGAAAGGGACGCCCGAGCGGTCCGAGCGGCCCGAGGCGTGCCGGACGAACGCGAGGGTCGCCAACGTGTCGTTCGATCAATTTTTACGCGGACCTCGACTCGGTTTTTTTCCCGTTTCCTGGTCAGAGCGTTACGGAAAACGCGGGCAACGATAATAGGCGATAATTGGAGAGCAAACCGTCCGGGGTGGGGGGGATCGTACTCGTCGTCGTCGTCGTCGTCGTCTCTCGGACCTCCGGACCCTGGCGGGTGGATACCCCAGATCTACTCGTTTTCACGGACTCGATCGGCACCGGTTCCGCGAAGCTTTCGTTCGCGTCTCTGGTCACGGTGAGGAGAAGGGGAAAACGGCGTGGAAAGCGAGCGGTCGAATACGAAAAAAGGGAAGGCGGTCGGGGAACGTGATTAACCGAGGGGGAAAAGAGTCGCCACGGCTCCCTTTGCGCGTTCAACGGCACGGGATAAGTGTTTGCGTTTTGCAATTACCGCTTCCCGCTGGCAGGCCCGACTCGAGCCAACTCCCGCGAGTAATTGACCCTTCTGGTCGTTTGGACCGCGAGGCACGCGCCAACGACCGGACCCGAGCTCTTTCTCCAATTTCGGAGGTTTCGCTCTCTCGGAATTCGGTGATCCGAGAGAGACGAACACGGTTAACGGCTTCAAAAATCCTTTGACGATAAAATCGGTGATTATACGCGTAGTCGCAGTTGCATTACGGTCGGATCGCGACGGGACAGTCTCGTCGATGAGTGGCATCGAGTGTCCTTAATTCGAGTCGCTTACCGCGTAACGATGCTCGCGAGAACTGTGGCACGCCTTCGAGTTTAGACGATCGCAGAGTTCAGCAGCGATCAGCAAAGACGGTCAGACCGACGCGGTAACATTTCTGTGCGCGTGGTCGTCCGTGTGACGGCAAAGTCGACGGAATCGAGTCTAGGTCGAACAGAGACGAGTCCGAGGAGAGACGGAAAGACGCGGAGGAAAAACGAACGAAAAACACGCCTACAAATTGGCACGCAGCCGCGTGTACGAGGAGAATGAAAAGGACGAAACCGTAAACGAAGTTGCGCGGCACCTGAGCCTCGGCCGTTGAAAAATCGCGTTTGTTCCGGAACAGTAGCGGCTCGGAACGGCCGAGGATCGATTAAAATCGAGGCAGAAATCGAGCGGTCGGTGATCTTTCACCCGGGACGGGAAACGATGCGTCGACGAGAGAACCGATGAATCTCTCGATCGTTGCTACGCCCGCTGGAATCGAATCCTCTTCGAAACTCGTGCGTCGCGCGTCCACGACGATCGTTCACCACGCTCGTCGTCCGCAGAGGTAGCCAGGCGTCGGGGGGGATTTCGGGAACGGGACGAGGGCCGCGTCTTGCCTCTTGCAATTTCCCGGCAACAAAAATCTAATTAACTCGTCGAGACGGGGAGCAGAGAGTCGCGTCCTCGTTTGGCCGCGAGTAAAAAGCGGGAAACAAATTTTCCGCTCTCGCGAGGGAGTTTTTTATTTGCCGGTACGGGTCGTTTAAACACAGCGAGAGAAAGGAACTCGGTCGGAATTGTTCTTATGAAAAATTGAAAAGAGCAACGAAACGAGCGCACGAGGGAAACGCGAACGATTACGCGCGACCCTCGGTCCTCTCGACCGAGAGGAGTCAGGCGATTACGGCGATTACGGCGAAAAGGACGAGGAGCAGGCAGAGGATCGTCGCTACTGGAGTAATTGCCGATGCTCGGATCGTCGCGACAGAGGGTGGCCCAGCCGTGCTCGTATTTACCGCTTTCCCTTTCGTCGCGTGCCAGAAAAATTGGAAAAGCGGCGAGATCTCCGTCCGCTGCAGTGGTCCCGGGAACACCGGCGTACCGGTTGCGAGACCCTTTCGGAGGGAAACCGGCGAATTTTCGAGGATCCCGGGCAACGCGGCAGTGGGCGCGAGTTCGCCTCGCGCCGACCCTGAAACGACGTTCCCACCCGCGCGATACGCGGTAAGGGTGCAACTCGTTCGGTCGTTTCCGCACCTCCTCGTCGACCTCTGCCGCTGCTACTGCTCTGCTGGAGCGCGCACGTCGCGAGTGGGGGAGTACGGGGTAGTAGTAGCTGTGCGGTACGAGCCACGGGACTATGTAGCACGAGCCCTGCACTCGACACTCGGGTCACGCTTGGACACGCGATCGTCGCGCGTAACGCACGCTCGTTGTTACGAACGCCTGGTCGCCACCGCGGCCGGTGCGAGTCATTTTCCTGCGAACCCTGGTGACCCTCGCCATCGTTTCTCTCGTCCCCGTGAGCGAACAGCGACGAGCCGCGAGGGAGGTCAAGGCGAGTCCGGCGAACTTCTCACGATCAGTCCAAGGCTCGACGTCATCGAACAACGCGGCGGTCTTCTCTGCCACTGTCACGGCGGTTTCCCTCGAATCGTCCGGTTCCCAGGACTCACGCTTGTTCGCGTGGTCGTCGTCGTCGTGGACTCGGTCGTGCGCGGACTTTCTCGCGAACCTGCGGTACGACGCTTGACGTCGAGTGCGACGGTGTGCGCGACGTGGTCGACCATAAAATCGAGACTCGGTCTCTCTAGCTGATCATGGATTGGAGAGTGGGTCTGTTCCTCGGCTGTCTGCTCGTAAACGGTGAGTGACTCTGACTCGGAGGACGTCCGTCCTCGACAACATTCGCGGTGCGCGCGTGGTCTCGAGTCCAGGGCGAGAACGACGGTGCGACGCGTCGGATCGCTGCCAATTTTCTTTCTCGCTCGCTTTCGCCCTGCGAAACGTCAGCGTGAACGAGTACGCGTCGTCGAAACGTCGCTCGCGAAAATTTACGACGAACGTGTCGTTACGCACAGATACGACTCGTATCCTTCGTATTTCCCGGCGACGAATCCTACGAAGGTTCGAACAGCGCGGGACGACGAAGCGTCGATCGACCGATCTCGTGAACGCAGCACGCGTTCGGGCATCGTGTCGACGGAAACTCGTTCCGCGGAGACCTTCCCACGTTCCCAGATTCGTTTCGCGACACGGTCGTGTTCGACCCGATCAGGTGCTCGAACAACAGAACAGAATTTCGTCCGTCCTCGCTTTCTCTCCCCGTTCACCCCACGGGCTCTTCTCTCTGGAAACGCGACGAAGGCCGAACACGAGATCCGATCGACTTCGGTGTTCGCGATAACGTCCGATCGAATCGATAGACCGCGCGCGGCACGGCACGCGCGCTCCAATTTCCTGATGGAAGTGGATTAATACGTGTAATTTGATGCAACCCCTGGAGAATCGCGCATCTCGCGACTCGATCTTCCCGCGAGCGATCTCATCTCGTAGCGAAACGCTCGCGACGAATCATGTTCGACGACTCGTATCGATGCGTGGTCGCCACGCGTTTCACGACGCTGGACGCGTCCACCGACGACGATGAGAAAAGTCTCTCGTCAGTAACGTCGACCAGAACCAGATTCGATTTGCGTCCAGCGTCGTTCGGGAACCAGATGAGAAACGCCGCAGATCCGATTAAAAATCGCGCACGCTTTAACGACGCGATCCTCTCAGTTTCGAGAATTGCGCGTGAAAAGAACGTTTCCCAAGATCTATCGGCGGAACCGGGTAACGCGAGAACCTCTAATTATTCCGAGCGGTATAGAATTTACTGTCTCTCTCTCTCTCTCTCTCTCTCTCTCTCTCTCTCTAGCTCTCTCGTCCCGTCGGGAAAGACTCGTCGTTCACGGGGCGTACAGGTGTCGGCACGCGCGCGATCCACTCGCGATATCCCGCCGCTGTGCGACGATAACGATCATAATAATTTAATTTAACGGTCCGCGAGAGAAGGAGGTCACAGTCGCATCGATCTTCTCTGGAGAGCCCGCGAGATGCACCGGGCAAATATTAAAGAGCCGCCACCCTCTCCGGAGCCCCTGGCTCCGTCCTCGAAACACCCACTTACCCCCTGCGTCTTTCTTTTCACTTTTTTCCCCTCCCGTGTCTCCTCGCTGCTGGCTGTCCGTCTTTGGACGACCGAAACCGAGACGGAGGAGGTCGACGGAAACAGGGCCAAGATCGCTCGCTACGAGCACGGGACAGTCTTTTCAACGGGACTGCCGCCGCCGCTGCCGCCGCCGCCGCCGCCGTCCGTGAATCGTAGTTGACTCGTGTCGCGACCCGACTCCGTTCGATTCGACGTAACGATTCGAGGCATCGTCTTTGGCGTTCCAACGTCCGCCTCTGTCCCGCTGTTCGATCGGAGAGACGACGCGTTTACTTGGTTCGCGCGGACCGCGCGTTTCCATTTGTTCGCGGACCTCCCAAAGAATTCCAAAGTCGGCGGCGCGAGGGGGACGCAATAACGTTCAATTACCGCGTCCGTCGCGACGGCTACGGGTCTGTTCGAGTCTTTCCGAGGATTAATGCTCGTTACGGAGGTTAAAGACGACGTTCTCGATGCCTCGAGGCTCCTGCGTGACTCCTGCGGGTTCGGGCATCCTTCTCTTTTATCCCGTAGCCGCGGGTACGCCTTCGAAACGACTCGTCGAGGATGAATCTCGTTCGGCCGAACGCGACCGAGTATCTTTGAACGAACGGGTAGTAGCGCTTCCTCGAATCGGTCGAACGGCCGCTGTTGCCGGCGGGTATCATCAGGATAAAGAACATTTTAATTGACCGAACGGCGGGAGGAAAGCGAAACGGAGAAACGGCGGCGCCGCGAGTCGACCGTCGAAACGAATCGTTCCCCCTCGATCGTTTCTTTGTCCGCGCTCCACCACCGACGGGTCCCAATTTGCCGAGCTTTTTTAAAGCGGCGTCGGCTAATTTACGACTCGTTCGATTTTCCCGGTCCGGTCCGAATTCTCGAGACGCGTCGTCCGTCGGTTCTTTCAGCTTCGCGTGTAAAAGTGGTCGTACGCGCCTTCGACTTGGGCCGAAACGTCCGATTTTACGGGATTACGGAACGGGGAAAAATGACGGTAGAAATAAAAAATATACGTAGTCGGACGGACGAGTGGACGGTAGGTAGGGCGGTCCGGTCGCGGAGCGATCGTCCGGGAGGGCGCGGGTGAAAATTTTTCAACGCGTCACGATACGCCGCGTGTGGCCGAAATACACACAACAGATGGTACTCGTCGTACATGGGCGTGCCGGTTTAATCGCTTAAAATCGTCGTTAATTGAAAACGAGTCAATTTACGCGTAACGCGAGACCACAGCTGGGCGACCGCGCGCGCCATCGGAGCCGTCGTCCTTCGAACGCAACGAGCCCACATCCGGTCGGACGACGATCGTCACGCGGGTGTGCGTTTCCGTGGAAGCCAATTGTTTTCACGGACCATCTCCGATTCCCGTGAGCATCGTTCGCAGATCGATTCGAGACCTTTCCAAGAGTCCGAAGCGTTCGTACGCCGAAAGCGGCTCTCTCTCTCTCTCTCTCTCTCTGTTGGCCGTAACGAGAGGACGACGTCGGTCGAGTGAACTTTGCATAAATTCAGACTCGGAAATAGAAAGTGACCACTCCGACGAATAATAATCCGACGAGTAAGCGAGTCGACCGACCGTCTCTGGACTCAACTAGCAGAGACCGACGAAATTTCGTAGTTTAGAACTCTAGCCTTAGTGCTCTCTCGCTCTCTGACCGAGAGGTACTCGCGCCGCCCGTATCGACGTTCCAGTTAATCTCGAAATTAGTACGTCGGACGAAAAACGGTCGGACCTGCGTTCGTCGAGCGGTCAAGAGCGAAGCAGGAATCTAACACGGTAAACTGGAGAAAATTCTCTTTACTTGGTCGCGCTCCGTCGATCGAACGTCGCCTTTTTATTATTTGACGGGATCTGAGCACGGGGTGGGTCGACACGCGGGAGATCGCTAGGGTAAAATGAGCCGCTGGAACGGGGAACGGGGAACGGTTTTGTTATCGCGTGCCGGCTAAATGGTTGTACCGTTTTCTTTATTCTTTTTCGACTCCCCTTCTTTTTTCTCTCGTTTTCATTCTCTGTTTAAATGAAAATTCATACGCGTCTGGTAGCGCCGCGCTAGTAATTTGTCCGCCGGTTCCCGCGGATCAATAACCTACTTTTATGATTAATATATATACCGTACAACCGTCCGGGATTATTCGAATGTTCGCTTTAATACGAGCTGCACGGGCCGCGGTTTTAATATCCCGCTCTCGGACGAGGCAGAGCGAAAGAGAAAGAGTAAGAGAGAGAGAGAGAGAACCCGCTTCTCGTGATGCAGCCAGCTGTCCGGCCAACGGATAACAAAATACTATGCGACTCTGAATCCCCTCTCGTATTCTTACGGTGGTGAATCGGAACTGTGGACAGAAAAATCGGCGGTGCAGTCCCGGTCCGAGACAAAACCGACGAGTTTCCGCGAGGTGTCATCGGCGCCGTCGATCGGAGGACGACGACGGACGTCTGAGGGAAAGGGAGAAAGACGACTCGGGGGCGGGTTAATTAGAAAACACGAATCCAAGGTTGGAAAAATCTGAGCACTCGACGAAACAACAGGGGCATTAGGAGCATTGTAGGAAAAGTGGAACGGTAATTTCCGTTTCCCGGCGAGTTCCCGGGTTATTTCGAGACCGAATTACTCGCCTCTTCGATACCACCCACCCTCCTCCGTTCGCTGCTGCTGCTGCTGCTGCTGCTGCTGCTGCTGCTGTTGCCCGAAAACCGGGAACGGGAGAGAATCGTGTGTACGCGCGCGTCTTTTCATCGACGGGTCCCGACCCGGTTTTAATTAATCGCGTTCCCGTGTGCGCGGCTCGCGCGCGATTATCGCAACTTCTCTCCGGGTAGGACGAGTTCGAACCATTGTTCAGCCCTTTGTTCCGTTCCGTTCCGTTCGTTCTCTACCCTTCGACGAACGACGATCGACCGTCGACGAAGGAGTTTAACGAGGCCGATCTCGCGGATACCGTTAACCCCTCGACGAGATATTCGGTTTTCGCGTCTCGTCCCGGTCCGGTTTGCTTCTTTCGAGTCGCGAGAAAAATCTGGAAGTGGGTCGAGGTTCTTTCCAACGGGGAGCAGCGCGCGTTTCGACGGTCGCCGCCGCCAACAGTCCCGGGCCGACCCCTCCGCTTCGGGCGGAACGGCTTCCGTGTTTGGAAAATAAACCCGGGAGTACGTCTCTCGCGGTTTCGCTCCAGACGCGGCACGCGCCACGTTTTCCACCATCTCCGGAACGTAAATATTTTCGTCGGCGATGGTCCACGAACTCAGAACGGCCCCTCTTTCGGAGAGCCCTTCCGTTTCTGGTAACGGGTGCCTGCGTTTCGCGGCGACCAAAACCTTCTTTTCCTCTCGTTTCTCCTTCTCGATACGGGATCGACTCGTCGAGTTTCGAGGCAAATTATCTCGACTTGGAGAGGAAGCGACAGATCTCGACTCCTTTCGAAACTCCGCGATAAAAATTAAATGCAATTTCGGTGTAGCGTGACCTCGCGGCAGACCCGACCGACAAACGGAATTCTCCAGTAACTTCTTCCAGACTCGTGTCTCGCCTGAGACGTGATTCGTGCGACTCGGAGTAAGTAAAGCGAACTTCCAACTTGTTTTTCGGGACAGACACCAATTTGTAAACACGATCGCGTTCCCTCGAACTTTCGAGGATCGATCGTGGAGATCAGGGGGCCGTCGACT